TCTCTCTTTTTTTTTTTTTTGTATCTGATTATGAAAATCTAGATGACACTGAGGGGAAGTAATTTTTTATGGTTCCCATAGTGTATTATAAAATCTCACATACAAACAGTCATACTTTAACCTGTCACTGGCAGAACAATATTTGCATCAATAGAGTCATTCGAAAACCAGCTACTAGACCATCCCCTTGCTTATGTATGTTGAAAGTAGGTGCAAATATTTCCTGATACCAGCTTTGACAAGAAGGATACAGTCAAGCATTGAGTTCAAACACACCTTACTTTAGTATCATCGTCATAGCTTCATGCTTGGACTATCAATGCTTGGAAATTTAACTTTTCCTTCCATGTGAATACCTTGTCACTCATCATTCTCCAGTCTTAAGGATACTATCCAGATCACTCACTATTAGTTTGTTTTTGACCTCCAGGATCTTCCCGCTTCTTCAGATATCACTGACTTCCTGGGTTCCTGACCACTGCCTTGTATACACCTAATGGTAACTACAACTTCAGTCCCAGGCTGCTGAGCTAGAGATCTATCTCTTTTCCTTTCTCTAAGTCTCAGCTCTCCTCAGGCACTTCTAGCTACTCATGCCTCTGGATGATATGAAAAACATAGAAGCCATGTAATGAACTTCTAGTTAGGCAAGTAATATCTGATGATTTCCAGTCATCTGTGTGATAACAAAAGTAACAACAGCAATAGCAACTAAAGCATCAAGACATTTTGCGTTAGAGCTGACAAAGTGCTAGCACTTCATTTACCCATCCATCCATCCATTCAATAAATATTTATTGAGCGCCAAATTTGTGCCAGGCATTTTTAATGGAGCTTAAAATTATTTGGGGGCTTACTTGCAAAGTACGGATATTAATTAATTTTCAGTTGTGGTAAAAAGTAAGTATAGGATGCTATATATAAGAGTTTTCAAAGTCAAGAAGAGCATTCTCACAGAAGTCAAATTTATGCTGCTGCTGAAGGATCTAGTTTCTTTTTTGGTTGTTATAGTGAGCTTGTGATTTAGATAACAGAGGTGCCTTTTTCAGCTTACCTAATTAGAGTAACAGCTATGGGTTTGATGTGGTGTCTCAGCTTCTTTTTTCCTTCACTATTCCATTATGTCTTAATCAACAACGTTGACAATCTCTAATTATAAACATTTTATTCAAAGCATTGATCCAAATTATTTTCAATGTAGATAATGCAAAACTGGGTGGAGTGCCCATAAACTCAGCATTCTATGGACTAAATCAAGCGGTTTGAGAGTTCAAGTCCAGCTTGGCCTACTTAAAGAGATCTTGTCTCAAGGAAAGTTTTATAAAGTTTTATAAGGCTGTGGTGGCCAGGTGGTTCAGGCATTGGTTTCAGAAAAGAAAGTATAGATAATTCATACGCAATGATGTTCCTCATCCTTCCTGGCCATAATAAAAATGGGAAAAAAGTCACTGTAGATTTTGTGTGCATGTATGCATATATGTGCAGTTACACCATTGTTTATGAGTGCACGTGCACACTGTGTGTCCATATAGAAATCAGAGATGGCGTTGGTGTCATTCTTCAGAAGCCATCTGCCTTGTCCATTTGTGGGTTCTTTTGTTCTTGTTTGTTTTGATCCAAGTTCTCTTATTGGTCTAGAGTTTTCCAGGTAAGCCAACTGGCCCCATGTGTTCCTGTGTCTCTGCTCCCTACCCCAGTGCTGGAATTACAAGGACACACCACTACATTTAGCCTTTTAAAAATATAACTCCTCATGTTTGTAAAGCATATACCTTACTAGCTGGGTTATCTCCCCAGTCACTAGCTCTAGCTTTAAAGGAATAAGTAAATGTGTTATTTATATACACTATTTGACATTAAATATTTATGGTTTGTTTGTTATGTAATTTTAGCTTCAAAATCATTTTGATGATGTAAAGTGTGGCTGCAGCTATTTTGAAATATATAACCACAGACAAATAACCATTAGAGAATGTGAACTGCTTATTATAGAGTAAGGAGGATGTGTGGGACATTTTTTATATTTTTACTGTTTTTCGCCATAGTTCTTTCCATGCAAAATATACCTTATGTTGAAGAAAACATTTAAATTGTCATACACAAAGTTTATTAGTTGTCTTTTGAAAATGTATATGTAACCATTTTATTGCAAAACTTTAAAACACAAAGTAAAAAGTATATTCTCCAATTATCTCAATTCTCACAGAAAATCATTATAAAGACTTTAACATGTTCTTTCAGAATTTTCCACATTTTTCTTTTTCAAAATGGAATGAATCCACTATGTAACCTATTTTTTCACATAATAAATTGTAAATTTTCACAATAGCAAATTGTGCATTTATGTTATGATTTTAGTATAAGATATACTTATTTCATCTCCCTTTAGTAGGCATTATATTCCTTCCAACTTGTTACTGTTATTATAACAAGTTTTGATAAGCACACAGTACAGTGCAGGTTTTGTGGTACCCAAACTATATTACACTATAGTGCTGCATGTACTATGTGAAAAGTTGTTTACATATTATTTAGAATAAATAACTAAGTTACTGAGTCAAAGGTTGTTAACTTCATTGTGTTTTATCACAGAAAAAATACAAGCAATCCAGATGCCAACAATTGTAGATGTTTGAGAAAAAATTATAAGTATATGATAGTTACTTTCTAGAAGATCCAGTTTATGCCTGGAACAACATTTCCTGAAATGGTAATACATTCACAAGGTATTATCAGTAAGAGGAACACTCATATATATAATATTCATGGCTTGTATATGGGAAATGACGTACATATCTTCAGAAAATGAACTAGTATATACATCCTAAAATTTTAGCAGAAAAAGTTCCAAAAGGAGGCCAGGCTAAGCTTATATTTATTTTATTAAAAATAATGGGTCATTCGGTAAAGTGCATGCCACACAAGCATGATGTCCTCCTGAGTTTCGATTCCCAGCATGCACATAAAAATGGCAGTGTCTATGTTCAAACCAATTGTTGACAGACAGATCCTTGGGGCTCACTAGCCAGTGTAGCAGATTTGAAAAGCTCCGAATTCATTAAGAGACCCTGTCTTAACAAGTATCATGGAGCCTGATCATAGAAGATGCTTGAAATGCAAGTGTTCCCAATGCATGTATATCTACATGCACATGTGCACATACTCACATGCTCATATATATGCACCCTCACACACAAATACATGCATATGGCAAATGGTAAACAAGGACAGTAATACATAGGGTAAAAACTGAAAACATTCCTTTCCTAATATTATTGCATAGAGGTAGCTATGATTATTTGACTCTTCTTAGTGATTTGTCTATTAATGCCCATCTATTGTTGAGTGTTTCACAGAATTATTATATTGTTATATATTATATAAATCAATTTAATATTATAAAACTTCCTGTTCATTAGAGAGTCATTTTGCATTGCATTAGTTATTATTAGGTTCTGTGTGTGTGTGTGTGTGTGTGTGTGTGTGTGTGTGTGTGCATGAGAGGTCAGAGGAAAACACTTAAGTCTGTTTTCTCCTTAGACCATGTGGGGATCAAGCTCAGGTCATCAGGCCTCGCAATAGGAACCTTTACCCACTGAGCTATTCTGCTGGCCTGAAATTCATGTCTTA